TTGAGATGAAGAGCCGGCACTTTCTATGCTCTGTCAGGGCCAAGGCCTGCGCATGCAGTCGCTCTCTTTTGGAGGTACACACATGTCCCCATCTGTCAGATGACTCCAGGCGCGTCACCCCCCCTGGCTCTCTAGGTTTTAGTATTGGGGTGTCAGTGGAGAGCTCATACACGTACCCCTCCCCAGTCATACCCAGCGCACAAGGTTATGAAAAATAGAGAATGAATGAGACATTTCTAGATGATTCCGAGTGAGTCACCGTGCAGAGCCCTGTGGACTCTCCTCCTCCCTACGCCTCAGGCTGGGGTTCCCCCATCTCACCCCTGCCATCACCCCACTTGTCCTGCCCAAGAGAAGTCAGAGGGCGGTGCATATTCCCAGTATCTCGGGAGGAGTCAGAAAAAGCCACCGGCCTCACAGAGGCTGGGCCCGAGGTCTGGCACCCAGAACTGTGTGGAGCAGGAAGTTCAATATTTAGCTGGGGGGGGGAGGAGAGGGGGGCAGGCTGGGGGAGGGCTGGGCAGGAACTGGGTGAGAAGCACGTGCTCAGCACACAGGAGGCCTGGGTTCAATCCCCGGCACTGCGCACGTGTGTGCAGGCAGGCAAGCACACGCACATGCACACGCATGCATGCACACACACACACACACACACACGTGCTGGCTTATTGCCTATGTTTTCCAATCTTTCAGATTTCTTCTTGAATGCCTGAGGAGGCCGGGCCACAGGCCGGGTGAGCTGAGTCCCTGAGCTGGGCCTCCCCGACACCGCCGTGAGCCACTGGGCTGAGCACGCGCTGCCTGGGCACGAAGCAGCAGCAGGGACACGGAAGACTGTCACTTGGCATTTTAGAGCTGGGAGCAGGGGACAAGGATGAGGGCGGGCAGCCCTCCAGCCCCGTGTCCACGGCCATGCTCCTGGGTGGCCTGTCCAGGCAGGACGAGATGAGCGCACTCGCTGGACGGTGTCAGCAGTCCTAAGTGTCCACCTCTACCCTTTCCTGCAGCCTCTTATTTACTCAGGACCTGGTATGAGATGGTATCTGATTAAGTGGCAATGTGTTTACTTAGCTATTTAAAGTTTACCACTCATTTTCATGGAGAGTTCTGCAAACAACGCCATTGTGTCCTGGATTCGGTCCAGGTGCTGGCTGGCTGAGTCAAGAACTCCATCAGCAGCGTTGGGCCTTGTCACCAGGCCCGGGCCCAGCACAGTTCAAAGCCAAAGGAGTTAAGTCCATGAAGACAAGATTAATGAGCGATATACCCGAACCGTAACCTGAACCTTTTATTTTTGGGGGTGCATTGGGATTTGAACTTAGGGTATGTGCCTGCTTGGCTGGCACTCAACCATTTGAATCATACCCCCAGTCCTGCTTTGTGCTGGTTATTTTGGAGATTGGGGCTAGCAAACATTTCTGTCCAGGCAGGTATCAAACCAGGATCCTCTAGATCTCAACCATCTGGGTAGCTGGGATTACAGGTGTGAACCACTGCACATAGAGGCAAGGTAGAATCTAATGGTTGATTTTTTTTTCCAGTGCTGGGGCTTGAACTGGGGGCAGGTAAGGCCTCCCCACCCCCCACGGCATGCTCAGTGTTGGGCACGGAGCATTGACTTTGAAGTCCCAGACGCCTGGGTCTGAACTCGCATCTCATCAATTAGTCACTCTACAACCTTGGGCAGGTGCCATCGTCTCTATACATTTCTGATTTCCCCATCTAGGGGCTCAGTGACCTGACCCACAAATGGTAGCCGTGATCACGAGTTTTCTAGTATTCTTCCAAGAAGAATGTATTCGTGTATTCTGGACATCATTCTGCTTTAATTCTAGCAAGTGAACAAGCAGGCCCATCCTCGCACCCACGACGTGGTCATGGTCCATGGCTGAGCCCCCAGGGACCTCGGGGGGGAGGGGGGGTGGCCTCATCCAACACCTTCCAGAACGTTCCAGAAGTACCTCGGACAGGGGCTGGAGCAAAGAAGGAGGACTGTGGCGGTGATGGGTGCCCGAGCCAGCCTCCAGAGGGGCGGGCATGGCAACTGGCCGTCGGTGGCAGCCACGGTGACGCGCGGCCTCTCAGTCATTCAGACGGCCATGGCCGCGTGCCGCGAAAAAGACACTGTAAAATCCAGGGAGCTTCCTCCCTCGCGTCTTGGAAGTTAAGGGAGAGCTGAAATGGATTCCAAACTGTTTTGAATTAACGAGAAGAGCCCTTTCCTGCCGCAGGGTTCCAGCTGGACCTGGCCTCCACTTTTGGGGGGGGGACCCCGAGTCCTGCCGCTCGGCCTACCCTGGGGCTTGTCAGCTTTCCTGAGCTCTGCGCTTGGCACTGGCCGCTGGGCAGAGTCGGGCCCCGCTGGCTGGGAGGCTGGCGCAAGGCCGTGGCGCCAGCTGCACACATCCTCTTGCTGGAGGTGGTTCCCTGACTCTCCCCTGCAGGCTGGGGCCTGGGGGGGGGGCGTGGGAGGGCGGTGGGGTGAGCACTGTGGCAGGGAGGGGGGAAGGGGGAGGGAGGGCAGAGGGGACGGGGCAGCACCCATGGCTGTGAGGACACCTAGCTTTCATCCTGGCTCCGGGCTCCCTAGTTATTAGACCTCAGCCAAATGCTGAAGTCCCCCCTCTGTCCTAGGGGGTGATGATAAAGGCAGGGGAGCACATTGGGGTGCACTGCGCGTGCGCAGACCATAGTCACCAGTGCCGGGCTGAGGGTGTGCAGCGCTCTTGTTCTTTGCTGTAGTCGAATCCTCGCGGCCCTCTTCCTCCCCCCACCCAAAGCTCAGAGCAGAAAGAGGAGAGCACTTGAGATCGAGGTTATCTTTCTCAACAAGCTGCCTTTGGGAGCTAATGGGTGGCTGGTGTATGTATGTGTGTGTGTGGGGGGGAGCGACACAGGTCAGATCTGAGGCCAGGTCAAATGAGTTGTTTCGAGGGGTGCAGTTGAACAACACCCATCTTAGGGGAGCGATGCCAATTTCCCCAGCAAACACTGAGTTGTTCAAATCATGACTTTCATCTAAAAATCTAAGGACCCCCCCATTCCGAGTGTCCCAGCCCCTGACACCCTCCTGTCCCACAGCTCCCACCTCCGCCACCGTGCCTCAGCCTGGGATCCCAAAGGCTTTCTCCAAGGTAGAGCTCCAGTGTGAGTCTCAGAGGAACTTCCTGAAGCCACTCAAACAACCATAGACTTACTTCCTAGCAAATGGAAGATAAATCATGCTATGCATTGCAGAAATTCATTTTCTGGAGCAGAGCCTCTTACATACATGAAGGTTTTCCCTTTCTGAATTTCTAGGATAAGAAAAAAGAAGTGGATAATCATGGCTTCTCGGGAAGAGGCGCAGGGAAGGCTGTGGATCTCAGCATCTGCTGATGAGATCCGAGTGGACATGGCTCTCGATGGGCCACCACGATTGGGCATCTCTTTCCCTGGCCTGTGCCTCATCAGCTTCTCTGAGTAAAGATGAGGCGCACATCCCTGTGAGCTGAGCAAACACGCCTCCAGTCGGTTCTTTCTTATCTGTCTATGTTTAGACTTCATCTACAAAAGCAAACGTTGGCTGGGAAGGTTCTGGCTTTGAAGATGTAGGAATCAGTCGATGGCAAATCCTTTTTAGAAATGTTTCACAGGGTGGTTTTTTTTTTCTCTTTTCATTATAAGTACAGATAAAAGGCATTTATGGCTGGGCGCCCATGGCTCCTGCCTGCAATCCTAGCTCCTCAGGAGGCTGAGATCTGAGAATCCTGGTTGAAAGCCAGCCTGGGCTGGGAAGTTTCTGAGATTATCTCCAGTTAACCACCAAAAAGCCAGAAGTGAGGTTGTGGTTCAAGTAATAAAGTACTGGCCTTGAGCAAAAAGCTCAGGGACAGTGCCCAGACTCTGAGAACCAGCATCCACACCATAATACACACACACACACACACACACACACACACACACACACACACACACACACAGAGCAGTCCGCTCTGTGGGACTTTTGGCTAATATAAAGATAGTTTATGGCTAAAAGGAAGTTGTTTATACAGTATCTACATTTCAATGGCACCATTTTTAACTTTCCTAAACCAGTATGACTTAGACCCGGTCATTGAAACATGAAATTAAATCCCACCGTGTTATTTATGGAGCTAGCTCTTGACTAGTCAATACTTGCTTCTCCCCTCCCATCACAAGCTGATTTTCACAAACATAGGCACAGGGCAGAGTCCACAGCAAAAGCTCAGCAGAAGTCAATTTCAACATGAGACCCCACCATTTCAAATCCTGTTTCCAAGGGTGAGAGCAAAACTTCCTCTGATGCTACTTAGACACGTGAGCGCTGCGAATGGAAGTAATGGCTGGTATGAAGCCTGACTTCTGGCGCTGGCTTAGTGAATTAGATCATGTACTTGCAAGGTTAACATTTCTACAAACTGCCAAATCATTCAGCTTATTCCTGGCTGGGGGCAGGGGGAGGGGGGGAGAGAGGAGACAGGAGGGAGAGGGGAGGGCTCTCTGTAAGGAGGCAGAGGTCAGCTGACACACACACCTCCCTTCCTGATGTGGGACCACAGTTCAGGGCTGATGGAGGGGCGGGAGCCCAATGGGACCCCAGATGCTTAGCGGTGCCTTCTCCATGCTGCACAGACCACCACGGAAAGCTAGTGATCCGCATCATGACTTCAAGGGACTCAAGGTTACATTGGCTTTCTCGGAGAAGGAAAGGAAAAAGAGCTCAAAGAAAAATGAAAAGGGGGCAGATATCAGCCAGGGTTGGGGGGGGGGGAATACCACGAGGGAGAGAAGAATGAGCCTGGAGAGAATTCCCCCAGCGTTCCTTTGCCAGAAACCTACGGACGGGGTTCTATGTTTGGTATCTGTGTGGGTCGTGGCAATACTTGTTAGCATGTTGTGCTAGAGAAGTCCAGTTAGGGCGGCGTGAAGGCAAAGATGGCCAGCAGCCCACCTGCGTCCCACCCGCTTCCAGGACAATCGGAGGATGGACTGCTTACCTCCGCTGAGGATGATGACGGCGATGAAGATGGCCAAGTCGCTGTCATCTAATTCCAGTGCATTGAACTTCACAGCAAACTCGAACTTGGGCTCCATAAAGTCACCGAAGGGCTTGCGCAGGCTCTTGAGGAACTCCCTGGTCATGAAGCCTTGGCCCTCGGAGATGAGCACCCCGTCCTTGTTCATCAGGGAGGCCAGCATGGTGTAGATGATCTCGTGGACGCCGTACTTGAGCAGAGTTACTTGGTCGTTCAAGTCAAGGTTTACAAAACCAGGGATGCTCTTGGCGTACTCCGTGATCTCCTGCACGGCCTCCACGGAGCGGAACTGAGAGCCTTGGAAGATGCGGATGGCCACCTCCTTGCTCGGCTCCTGCAGGGGGGTGATGAGCTTGAACTTGATTTTGTCTTCCCCCATCATTAAGGAGTTCATGTCGTAGATGACGTAGGGCTGCAGAGGAGAAAGGGGAAACGCAGCTGAGTTGGGAATGGCACAGGTGCATCTGTTTCTCTCCTACACACATTTGCTCGGCTCTCTCACACCTTTAAAGTAGAACACGGACGGTCGAGCATGAGAACATTCTTCTCATTCTAGAACCAAATATGGCACATTGGTTTGGGCTGTTTCTTTCCACAGGTATGCTTAACCCTTTACCTAAAAGATATCTAGGTCATTTTTAAGACAATGCAGATTCTGTTGTTTGGAGCTCGGCTTTCAGCAACACACTCATTTAGACTTCTTTCAGTGAAGAAAATAATCATTTCAGCAACTCAAGGACTGAAAAGACTCACTCGAACATACAAGCCACCTTGCAGTTTTAGATTCAATCTACTCAGACTGCAAATGAAATGCAGTGTGCACATAAAATATACTTCACCATAAAAGTCACCCTGAAAGCAGATTACAGATCTTGAGCCAAGAAAATGTCTAACTCTTTTTTTAATGCTCTGAAAGCCATCTGTTTCAGGAAAGGCAGTCATAGAAGGGCCTGTGGGTAAACACTACAAAAAAAAGCCACAAAATAAAAGTAGTTTGGAACTTTCATTACTATTTGTGGTGCTGGGGATTGAACCCAGGAGTCTCAAGGATGCTAGACAAGCACTTTACCACATTATACCAAACCCTGAACTTATTTTTATTTGTTAAATACTGTCCTTATGAGTCAGCCAGGCAATAAAATATATGCACCAATTACTCGGGTTTACAAAGGGTGGTTTTCAAAAACAAATTGTGTTGGTAGTGAAGTTCTCTCCCTCTCACTTGCTTGAGTAGAAACAGCCACACTCTGGAAGAGAGAGGCTAATATTCCACACACATCGAATATACCATACTCTGAAAGAGTCAACCCTATTCAAGGATGTGTACAGCCGTGTGCTGCATACGTGTAATCACAGGTAATCCTAGCTGTGTAATCCTAGCTACTCAGGGGCCTGAGATCTGAGGATCACAGTTTGAAGCCAGTCTGGGCAGAAAAGTCCAAGGAATCCTTTTATCTCCAGTGAATGAGCAACAAAGGTGGGCAGGAAGCCTGGGTCAGATGGTAAAGCACCAGCTATGAGAACTCACAAGACCCTGAGTCCAAGCCTTGGTACTGGCACACGCACATACACACACACACACACAAAGGCAAAGGAGGTGTGTAGGTGCGATGTGGGTTCTCGCTTTGGGCCTACGGCTGACTGGTTTGCGGGCCAAAGTCGTTTACCCTGTCTAGGTCTCAAGGAAGTGGATACACCTGGGGCCTTCCTTCTCTCCTCTAGAGGAAATTCTAGTTGCTTTTATTGAGGAGCCATGGCCCCGTGTTCATGTGCGTGGGCTCGGCAGGGCCGCACGTGCAGACGTGTGCCTGTGCACACACGCACGCCTGTGTACACACACACGCCTGTGCACACGCATGTGCTCTGAGGGTGAGTAACGTTTGTTAGGGCAGCAGGGCTGAGGTGAGAGGTTAGAGCAACCTGGCACGTGGAGAACTGGGCCAGGCCCAGGTCCTCCCCCAGTTCCCCACGCCTGCACTGTGCCCAGCAAACCACAGACACTCTCAGAGCTGAGCAGGCCTCCCAGCACGCACACACTTCCCGACCCTCAGACGCACTTCAACCAAGCCCCCAACGACCGGCGTGAGGACCGCAGGCAGGAGTGCCCGTGGCCCGAGCTCTTCCAGCCTACCTGGAGCACGCTTTGGAGTACATTTTGATCCCATCCCTCTCTCACTTTCAAGACTGGTATTGTTGAAGGGAGACGGACAGACAAGTAAACAAACAGAACCCAGGCCAGCTCCCAGGCCCGCGCCCGCCCCCCAGTCCCGATGAGCTTCTGCTCAACCATGCAGATTCTTGGCACAGAGCGCACGCACCACAGTCTCCCACTTCCAAGTAAGCAGTTTATCTGGAACGCTGCCCCGTTCCTCACCCGCGTGACGCTTCCCCGCTGCTTCCCCTGTCCCCTCGTATGAAGCCCCAGGTTCCTGTTTTTGAAACTCCAGGATAGTTGAACACAGGGCACAAAAATCCTGCTAATTTTCTCTCCCAATTTAACAACAATGTGACTTTAACCCCTTGGCAATCAATGTTGGTCAGGATTTCCTGGCAGTAAACAGTGAAGGACAGGGAAAGAAGGCAGCCCTCTCACCAACATGCCACGCCAGTCCAGCTTTGCTTTTTTTTGAGGTTGGGGGGGGGGCCGAGGAGGGAGAAGAGAAGAAAAGAAAACCTTTCAGAATTTCTGGAAAAAAAAAAAAAGATGTTCTGAACTGGCCGATGAATTCTGGGTATCTGGCATGCAAATGAACAGCAGATAAGAGTTTGTGTTAGTCACATCTGATAGTGTGGGTTTCGCTGTGGATTCTTCCTTTCCACCTTTGGGTGTCTTTGTCAATTGTCACTCTGCACGGGTGACGCCCCCTCCCCCGCAGGCAGCCCACAGTCCCTGCCACCGGCCGCTGCCCCAGACGCTTTTGTTTCCCAAACCGAGCGAGAAGGTGCAGCTTGCTGGTTAGGTCACTGGCCTGCTCAGGAGGGCTCTCTTGGTACAGTATTCTGCCTTAAAAATACTTAAATGCTGCCTTCAATACTGCTCTGTGCTGCCGCGGTGAAGTTTCTGTATCTCTTACAAAGCCAGGGCAGTGCGTGGCGAGCTGTCGTTGGAGATGGAAGGGCCGTCCTCCAAGTTTGCCTTGACTTTTTTTTAAACACTTCTCCTGCTAACAAGAGGGGGCTAACAAGGAGCATATTTGCTGACGCAGCATCCAAAGGTTAGATGTGCATCCTTTCTCACAGGAAAGCAAGTGTGTTCACAAGCACAACATACCCCGGGGCTGGATGCAGGTTTTGTGGGTCCTGAAGTGCACATACTGCTAGGGGCCTTGGCTAAGAAAAATGATGATGATGAAGAAGATGATGAAGAAGGGAGCCAAAGAGTGGGCGGCCTCCCCGAGTAGGGCAGGGCTCTGTGGCCGTGAAAGGGGTCTCGGGGCCTAAGCTTCTTTGGCACAGGGGGACGCTGCCCACGGCCACTGTGCTGCTGTGACACTGTGTCTCTCGGGAAGGGCAGGACAAGACAAGAATGGGTGCAGAAAGGGCCAGCGACACACAGCGTTCCTCCAGGGAAGCCAAAGGTCGCTGTGGAGGGACCAGCTTTTCTGGGAGAGAGCCATGAGATCTAATTTTATTTTGATATACTTTGATTAAAAAAGTAGTTCCACATACCAGAGCCAGCATGGTAATCAGGGTCTATGGAGGATTAAACTTCGTTATAAATCTATGGCGTTCCTTCTATATGAAACATAGATGATGGCAAAATGGGCTTAGAGGTAAATAAGAGAGAACAAGAAAAGTGCCTTCCCTCCTTCTTCTCTCTCACCTTCTCTCCCTCCCCCCACCCCTCCCTCTCCCTCCCTCCCTCCCTCCCTCCTTACTTGTCTCTTTTCCTCTCCCTTCCTCTCTCCCTCCCTCCCTCCCTCCCTTCTTTCCCTATTAAAGACACCACTGTGCCCCATGACTTCGTGGAGGTTGACCGTGTTCTCTACCACTGAACTCTAGGAGTCCAATGAGATCAGCATTTTAATATCTGAGTTATAGAAAGGATTAGGTCAAAGACTCTAAGTTTAAAGCTCCTTTCAAATAATCGAAGGGTGAGCTACAGGAGACAAATGGGAACGGCTGGTTAATGAAGCCCAGGTTGCTCTGTATGATTTCTCGGTGTGTGTACGCTCGTGCACACGCGTCACCCGTTCCCTTTGAAAACCTTCACCTGGAAAGTTGTCAGAGACAAAGCTAGCTCGGGAGCACGTCCTCCTCATGGCCGGCGTCTAGGTATTCAGGATCTCTGGGAGGAGTGGGATTCGTCTCAGGGCCCATCCCTTCTGCTTCCTTCTTCCTCCTTAACCTTCTGACGCCTCTCCTCCCCTGCTCACCCCCCAGTTCTCTTTCTCCAGATCCTGTAGGTACCAGTAATGCCAAGCTCCCTGGTTTGGTACCCCCGGCCCTGTGGCTCCTACCCCACCCTGGTCGAAAGCTGTGGGATTGGTAGAAATCACGCTTCATTGCTAAGTCTGGATGAGCTGAAGCGAGGAGTCTTGCCGAGGTGGAATGGTGCTTGAGAGCAAGCCCTGACCTAGAACCAGCACCGCTCCCATCCCTGCCCCCTCCCCCGGCCTTTCCACCCTTTCCACACGGCTTCTCTGCTTCTTCCCTTCCAAGAAGGCATGGGCACCCGGAGAGCAAAGCTCTTCCATGCGGGTCCACCGTCATAGCGCACCGCCAGCCGAGTGCTGAAGTCTGAAGGATTGTCAGATGGAATTGTTTCCCCACATGGTTTTAGAGACTTAAGACAAACAAATGAAAGCCTAACAAGAATTATTCACACTCAAGTGAACAAGCACATAACCACAGCTTAAAAAAAAATCATCTTTGCCAGCCAGTAATTCAGTGGATAAACAAAGGCATTGGCTGAGTTCAACCACAGGAGAGGGGGAAAAGCAAACAAGAAACCAAGCACTTTCCTCCTGAACTGTATCAGTTATTGTTGTCGTTGTTATTAGGTGCTAGGGATGAAACCCAGAGCTGCGCACATGCTGGACAAACGCTCTACTACCGAGCGCTCTCTCCTGTCCCAGAATGCTGTGCTTATTCTCGAAAGATCACCACTAGTTTGCGTATGCCTCACCTGTGCTATTGGCTTGGAAAGAACTGACTATTGCTGCTCCAACCATGGCTGCTCCCAGGAGCCCAGCGTCCCCATCAGCCACGGGAAGCTGCTCCGCACCCACGCTCCCGCGCGTGTCCCTCTCCTGTGGGCCCTTTTCTCTGGGCTCCCACCAGTGGTTTTCTTCTCAGCAAAGGCCACCTCACTTGGGCTCCAAGAAGAGAGGGAGAACCCCTTCTGCTGAGCAGACAGGTCTCTTTGCAATGTCTAAATGCACCAGGTGGCTTTCCTGCCCGGCTAGCTCCTATTTGGGAATGGCCACTCTGCTGAGGGCCCCCGCTGGCCCCCGTCACTGGTGGGGCAGTGCCTCCAAGTGTCCCACCATAAACACGACGGTGCTTGGAGTCTAAAGTCCAACAGACGCCAAATAAAACGTTTTATTTCTCATTCACGGGGAGAGAGCGCAGCCAGGTCTCCGCCATCGCTGAGATCCGGAGTGAAGAGCTGGCAAGCGCATGAAGGGTTTTTTTCCTCTCCCTTTCTATTTATTGTTTTATGATGAACCACGACAGTGAGAATGGTTTTATGATCTTTTTTAAACTATCCTGTTTATTTCCATCAACAAGCACGGGGTCACGTGACAGTGACACACCCGGAGTGATCACTGCATGAGCCCCATTCAGCTATGAAACTGCCTTCAGGAAACGGAGGGCCAGCGTCCAGCACTGGGGCGGCCGCTGGGGCTGAGAAGGGCTCTGCAGACAGGGGCTGCGGCTGAACAAACGCCTTGGGGGGGGGGAGGTGATGGTGACCGCCACTTCTACCCTGACAGTGCTGCAAAGGACGAGGAGTCCTGACCAGTTCCGAGGCCCAAGGCCCCAGCTCTCATTCTGCTAAGCAGGAAGATGAAAAGCCGGGGTGAGAGTGAAGATGATAAGAGGAGGAGGAGAGCGGGGCTTACTGTGTTGTCTGTTCAGAAAGCTGCAGACGGCCCTAGGAAATCAGATACAGAAGAAGGAAGTGGAGGCCGGGAGGGAGACTCTTACGTAGCTCCCTGGCCCAGAGGCACAGGCCGGGGAGGAGGCAGCTGGTGCGTCCCCTGGTAGGTTAAGGTTAAATGAACAGTGAGATAAAATTTAAGAATGGCCTCTTCAGTCCAGTCATTTCCTTGTTCCAAGGCCCTGGGTAATTGGTCATTCTCTCCGCTGAGGGCCCACCCCCGGGGCTTGGCCTGAGCAAAGCTACAGAGACCAGCCAAAGGAGGGTGTACAGTGGGTCCGAAGCGGCCCCCACACACAGCCCCACGAGAAGCCCCACAGCCCAGTGCTTCTCACACCCCTAACCTCTGGGGAAAGCCAAAACTTCAGCAAAACTGTGCCTATCAACACAAATCTTAAGTCTCTAGAGCCCCAGCCAAGAGATAGCAGAACAGCTCAGAGATAGATACTATCTAATGAATAATATGACCGCGATGATAAAGAGCAAATCTCATTGGAAATAACATTCTGGGTTTCCCCCCTCCCCCTATTCCTTCTCTGAATTATTTCTTTCCACTGGTGCTTAATTTGATTTTGCAAGATAAGGAGAAAAGAAGAGCACCGAACAATTCGATCTCAGTTTCGTGTAATCAGCGAGTGGATTATTTGAATTTGGCTCAGTGTCTTGTTTCTTGTTCCAGACCCTAACCAGAGGCAAATCTGCCACTATCTAGATCAACTGAGGATGTCCAGTTTGGTGAGCAAATTCTGACTTAGTGAGAAGGCGTCTGTTGAAAGGCCAGAATTTCAAAGGGCATTGCCAACAGTTTTTCATTCAATTAAACAAATACAGTTTGAGTTCCTGTGGGCGCGCGGCGGGGTGGCCTGGCAGACGCTTGCCCTCTGAAACCTTGAGCAGCTTAAAATCAAGTTTTCTTTTTGCTTTTTTGCCCTTTCTCTTAAAATAATGTCATAGCAATTTATTCCAGAAAGAGCCTCCAGTGATCTTATTTATTCACTCCAGTATTTAGAGCTGGCAGATCAACTGGGATGCGATCTTAAAGTGATTTGACTTGCGTATTTCAGAATAAAGATGGGGGTGAGTCGGACATTTAACTTCTTGACTCTTCTTGGCCTTTCCTTGGTCCCTTGTCTTCCTCCTGGTGTTCAGACACCGTGAAGCCCCCAGGGCTGGCGGGCTGAGGCGGCAGGTGTGCGCCGGAGGGGAGGACTCGGTGGAGGGAAAGGGAGATGGCTCAGGGCCCAGGGCCGGGGCTGTGCTACAGCCTCCTTCCGGTCAGCACCCCCCCCCTGCCCCCAGCCCCTCCTCTAGATCGCTCCTAGCAACGGCCGCCATCTGCTTGAGGTGTTCACTTCCCTTGACTTCTCTATCTGAGAATGAAACAAATTACAGGTCCCCACTCCCATGTGAGCCCTAGTCCTGCTTGGTCACGGTGACTCACGACCCAAACAACACGAGAAAGAAAGTGTCTAGACTATGAGTAGTGAGTGTGCTGTGCCGGCCCCGTACGCGGAGCCGCTGCGGTCCCAGAGGGCGTGGGGACCGTGGGCCCGAGGGGTCTTCAGTGCTGGCTGGGAGAGGGCGTGGGGACCGTGGGCCTGAGGGGTCTTCAGTGCTGGCTGGGAGAGGGCGTGGGGACCGTGGGTCCGAGGGGTCTTTAGTGCTGAGGACACATTGTGCCAGGTGTAACACACCTGTGCTACGCCCTTGTTCTTCCCCAGGCCTGCCACCGGTGGGTCCCAAGGGCAAAAGGTCTGACCTTTCTAGACCCGGGCTTCCCTGCCTGTAAGAGGAGGATCGTAATAAATAACCGGTGCCCTGGGATGGCCCTGTGGCTTGAATGCAAAGAATGCACAGAGCCATTTTGAAACAGTGCGGCCAAGGCCCAGGTGTTACCATGGCCTCGAATCAACAATCTCTGTTGCGAGTTGGAAACTCGACTTTCCTAAGCCGCTCTTGACTACAGAATCGCTTTGCGGACTTATCTCCTCCTAAATAGCTTAGTTAGAAGGAAAAATGACTTAAAGATAGTCATCAAAATATACTGAAAAGCAATGATCATCTCCTAAAATGTACCTGAGTGTGTGGAAAGTTACACACAGGCGGTCGTGGCGGGGAGGGGGGAGTCCCTTGGCGATCTGCACCTGTGTGCAGGGCTTTGCGGGATGGGATGGGGTCAGGGCTTTGATGATGCTCCCCACAGCTCTGCCTGCACACACACCATCAACGGAGGGTCAGACCCTGCAGCCATCACTGTCCGTCAGCTGATGGCAGAATGGGGACCGGAAGCCAGGGACAGTTTCCTTCTCTCTCTCTCTCTGTCTCTCTCTCTGTGTCAGTCTTGGGGCTTGAACTCAGGGCCTGGGCACTGTCCCTGAGCTCTTTTGCTCAAGGCCAGCACTCTACCACTTGAGCCACAGAGCCACTTCCAGTTTTCTGGTGGTTAGTTAGAGATAAGAGTCTTATGGACTTTCCTTCTCCAGGCTGGTTTTGAACCATGATCTTCAGATCTGAGCTTCCTAAGTAGCTAGGATTATAGGCATGAGCCACTAGCGCTGCACAATTTCATTCCTTTTAATGAGTATAAGCTGTGTGCTCAGCCTCCTGTCAGACAAGAGCTCTGCTTCCTGGAAAACTTAACTCAGGAACCCTTAAAGCCCTTCTGAGTGCTGGAAACTGCATGCATTGTAAGAAGCAGTGGAAAGCTGGGGATACAGGTGGCGTGGTGCACAGGGCTAACAGGCCGGGCCCTGATGCCAACTCCAACACCTCAGCCTCCACTAAAATACCTCTGCGGTGGCTCCAGCAGCTGAGATCCAGCAGCGGAGACGCGCTGGGTCAGCCCGACTCCCCAGAAAGAAAGACCACGAGTGACCAGGAAAGGAAGGCTATACAGCGAAGTACAGCTGTATGGGATAAACTCTGCGGGAGGTGGACAACGCCTTTCCAAACCTGGCCTGGCTCCTTCTGGCTTCCTGGATGAGCCGCTGTGGTCCTGCTCAGTTATTTTTCTGCTTCGAAAACAAAAGGGCTAGACTCTGAAAGCAGGCAGGAGCGTGCCGGACTCCGTGTGCATTCATGAAAATGCATTCTCTTATTGTGTGTGTGTGTGTGTTTTGGGGGGGGGGAGTTGATCCTGGGACTTGAACTCAGGGCTTGGGTGCTGTCCCTGAGTGTTTTCACTCAAGGTTAGCGCTCTTCCACTTTGAACCACACTTCCCGTGCATTCTCGTTTTAGTGTCAAAGATTTCATGGCAGCACGAACCACTTACTCCTTTCTCAAAACAATGCTAACGTATCCCATCTGAAGCCATTTCCTGCAGTTTGGACCCAGCCTGATGGCTGAAACATGATGAACCCTTTCCCCTCCCCCTCCCCCTCTCCCCTCCCCCCCCCCTGCAAGACAGCAGAAGAGAACTGACTGATTTGTCCGTGGTCTTCCCCGTCAGGATGGCCCTTGCCTTGGCCTTGGTCAGCGGGAAGGACTTTATGTATGAGTCATACAGATGCTTGGCCAGGGCGCGGAGGTCAGCAGACTCTGGGTTCAGCTGGTCCATATCACTGGAGATCTCAGCCAACAGCTTCTCCTTCTCGGCCTGTGGCATCCGCCCAAACCTGATAGCTGTGGAGGCAGAGAACGACAGGATGCGGATGCGTCAGTGAATGACCACAGCTCCCGAAGCTTCAGCCCAGCCCGGGTTCCCACACGGCAGGGCCCCGCTTCGCCTATCTCCACCGCCCCCTACCCCCCCAACTCAAGGCTGCCACCTTATTTCATGACAGCACAGATGATATGCAAAAATTAAATGGTTCCCTTCCTTAACGAAAGGTTGTAATGTCTGATCCTGCCAGGCAGGTCAAAGGGTTTGTTTAGCAAAGGGAGGGGAAGATATGTTTATTTACACATGCAATCATTGAGACAAACTCCTATTCATCCCTCAGGACCCAATTCAAATGTCACTTTCTCTAGGAGGCTTTCAAGTGCAGGGAACGATTCCTTCCACGCGGCCCATGGCATGGCTTCAGTGGCAGCGATGTTCACACTGTGCTGCCTTTGCTTTGCCCACCTACCTACTCATTCCACCATTGAACAAGGTCTGGTGTATCTTGGAGTCTCGTGACACACAGCTGGACAGACCAGAAGAAGAACTAGCCATGTGTGTCATGAGTTACACAGGCATGGTGCGGCGTTGGGAGCAATACCGCACCGGGTTTGGTTCTCAGGGTGCGTCCGATCCGCTTCACCCCGGTTACAGGGGGACAGGGGTGGCATTTCATTCCAACTCTTCCATTCAGTGGAGAGGAGCCAGGCTCAGGCCCCACCCCCCCGCCCGACTCTCCAGAACTAACACTTAATGATGCTTCTCAGAAAGACCGTAGCCCACACATTTTTGGCTTCTTTGTGGGGGAAGGAAGTGCGGAAGCAGAGGGAAAGAAGAGGGAAGGAGCAAAGAGGAGCCGTGGGCGGGGAAATGATTGGTTACCTTAGCGTGGAGCAGTCACCTGCATGCACAAGACCCCAGAGGGAACCCGGAAAAGGCGTGGCTCTGCTCCTCCCCCTTTCCCAATCACCTGTGTCAAGTAGCCACTCCCCCCCCAAGCCTTCTGCGCGGGCACCACCAGACCACTGCCTTTATCTGAGATTTCCCAGAGAAAACACTGATTGGGACCGCTGAGCCTCAGATTTGGAGATCCACCTCAGAGGAGCCGAAATAAATTTTACAGTGATTGTCTGGCCGCCAAGGCCTCCCGAGAGGCCTGGCTTGGAGTTAGAAGGGAGAGAGACTCTTTCAGGAGCCTTTCCATTGAACTAGCTGCTACATGGGTATTTCAGGATCTCTCTCCTCGGCACACCACCCCTCACAGCAGAAATCTCTACATCATCGCCTGGCTTTGGTTCGGTCTGTTCCAGCTTCCTCCTCGCTCTTCCCCGTCCTCTCCCTTTGCAGTTGTGCAGGACAGGGAGGCTGGCGGCTCATGGCTCATCTCCCCATCGCCCCCCCCAGCCTGCAGTCTCCTGGCATGGGAGGGGCGGGGGGGTGTTTCTGACTGGACCCCAGCTTCCTCCCACCCCCAGCAGCATCCTGAACAATGGAGGAGGAGGAGGGTGGGGGCTATGTCAGGGGGGCCTGCCCATCCTGGTGCCAAAGTTGGGGGGAAATTTCAGAATTATCAGAGGGTGAGGCAGACGTGGGCCAGAATCAGCCACGATTGGTGGCCAGATTCGGTCCTAAGCTGCAGAAGCGTACGGCGGAGGTTATATGCCAAGAAGGGCTGTGTTTTTCTTTTTTCTCTCTCTTGTGGACAAGCAAACTAGCAAACTTAAATGGCCCAAGATATGGATAGACTTGCTCTCTTATGCTTAACAAAAACAGCCAACAAGTAACTTTAGAGATGACTTTTGAATTAGGAGACATGAAAGCAAAAGCCTTCCGCTAGAATCTGAATAAACGCTCCCTCATGGAAGTTTCGCCCACAGGGCTGTCTCCTGAACAAATTATCTGCAGGGTTAAGTGACTGCACTACAATTCAGGGTTCATTAACTTTCAGTGCTACTAGTTACACAGGCAGGGTAGTATTTTTACACCTCTGAGGCTCAGGAAAGGGGTAAAAAATGAATCTTGTTTAGCGGGGTCAAGTTGGCAAACAATCTACATAAATCTGAAGCCAGGGAGGAAACAAACATTTTGATTTTATTTTTATTAAATTTTTGTGTGTGTGCTGGTCCTGAAGATTGAACTCAGGGCCGTGGCTGGTCCCTGAGCTTCACTGATCAAGGCTAGCGCCCAGCACCTGAGGACATTCCATTTTCAGCTTTTTGGTGGTTAATTGGAGATTAAAGTCTCACGGACTTTCTTGGCTGGGCTGGCTTTGAACTGTGATCCTCAGATCTCAGCCTCCTGAGTAGCTCGGATGACAGGCATGAGCTACTGGGGCCTGGTTTGTATTTTTTTTTTAAGGGGCAAAAGCCAACTGGGCCTCTTCACTTTGGAAGCACACATCTGGCGAGGGTGAGACCCCCCACGGGCGCCGCCAGGCCCCTGTGGTCACGCCTCCAAACTCACAGATCCAGAACCCGAAATCTACCCTGTCCTCTCGCTCTACCTCTCCATATGTGTTCCAAATTAAGCGTCTTGCCTTGGAACCAGCCCACACTCGGCGCATTTCCTGCCTCTGGGGTGCAGAGTTGGAGAATCAAAACAGGGAAGGTGGTGGAGGCAGAGGTCAGAGCTCAGACAGGGAAGAGGCGCAGATTTAGACTGGAAACAGAAATACCGACTTCAGGATGCCCGTTACCATGCACTGCCCATGGTGTGCAGTTGATCCTTCTGCTGACAGACAAAATCCTGCCCGCCCCCCCCCCCCCATCACCGCGTCACAGGGCCAGCGAGCACTTGTCCCTGGCTTTCTACTGTCCGTTTGGTAACCAACCAGCTCTGTGGTTTCCAGAAAATTACTTCATGTCTCTGGTCCTCAGCATGGGGTAGAGGTTCCTTCTTTCAGCTCTAAGTTTAGCTCTAAAATTCTAGGAATGTCTGTAACACTCAGTACCTGGGAGCAGACTTCTGTAAAGCCAACCCATCCTGTCCAGACCTCCAGAAGGCTGACATTTGGTTATTAGTGGGCCAATTGACCCCCTGGGGGGTGGGGCAGAGCCTGTATCTTGGTTAAAAAGCAACAGCAAGGCTGTTAAATGACTTGATAGGATCCTGTCAGGAAGACTAGGTTTCATTAGGGGCAGCAGATTCTGGTGAAGATATATTAGCTTGATACAAGCTCTAAATGCCTACTTCATGCAATGTATAAACACGCACTCACACAATGCCTAAAGGAACTTGATGCAAAACACTCGTGATGCGACACACTCGCGCAAGGCTCTGACAGACTCAGCTGCTTATTTAGTAGACACAACATTGAAGCACATGAAATCATTAAAAACCCCGGATATTGAACCCGGGTCTGGGTATGGCTCCAAGAAACAATTAGTTGACTTGTTTTCAAAATATCTACCTTCACTGGACTGTAGGGCACAGGACAGATAGTTGCTATTTACTTGTGAAGATAGATCGAAGCAGACTTTCAAATAATAACTCAACAGAAAATGAAAGAATGACCTAAGTTGATTCTGACCGGGGATGGGTTTGCAGAGCCTGAGAACAAGAGAAAGGCTGGCCCCTCTCCCCCTCCTGCCCGCCCCACGGGGCTGCGCTCCGGATCTTTCTGCTTTGGTCATCCTGCGGTTTGAACTGAGGGCTTTATGCTCGCTGCTATATCATGATGCTCACATCCAACCAACAGCCTTAAATCACGGGCCAGCCCACCAGAGCTGGATGTGTAAATACACCTTGGGGGCACTAACACATACAGGGGGAAGCTTTTAAATTTAGGCAACTCAACTAGCTACTCAGGAGGCTGAGATCTGAGGGCCATAGTTTGAAGCCAGCCTGGGCAGACAAATCTGGGAGACTCTGATTTCCAACTAAACACCCAAAAAGCTGAATGTGGGACTGTGACTCAAATGTAAAACACCAGCGTACCCAGCTAATCAAGAATGCAAGGCCCTGAGTTTGAGCCCCAGTATTAGTGTGCAAACACACACACACACGCACACACACATACAGACACACTCAACATTTTAGGCAGCCACCTTACCAGACGCCTACATATTTGGGAAGATTGTAGTAGCTGGATGAAAAGTGAAAACTTCAGTGTCTCAATAGAATTTCCAACTTATTTATTGATTTTTTTTAAATTTTGGCAGTAGTAGGGTTTGAACACAGGGCCTCATACTTGCTAGGCAGGCATTTTATCATGCAAGCAATGCTTCTAGTAGAACTTGTGTATGTGTGTGCCAGTCCCAGGGTTTGAACTCAGGGCCTGAGCTCTGTCCCTGAGCTTCTTTTGCTCCAGGCTGGTGCTTTACTACTTGAGCCACATCTCTACTTCTGGCTTTTTGGGTAGATTAGTGGAGGTAAGTATCTCATGGATTTTCTTGCTCAAGCTGGCTTTGAACTGCAATCCTCAGATCTCAGCCTCCTGAGTAGCTAGGATTAGAGGTGTGAACCATGAGGCACCTGGCTTTCTAGTAGAACTTTTGGCATTGAAAGACTTGGCGATCATTAATTTCATTAGCTTTCCAGCAGTATTTCCCAGCTCTTAGTGTTCCTTGAACATTACTTTACAATTCTTCTAAGGTGCAAGTGCGTGGCTAAGGGAGACACCAAGTTCACAGAATGGGCTCAGCAGATGCCAAAGAGAAGAAGTAAAAATAACCCAGAAGTGGGCAATCTGTAATCTCAGCTCTTAGCAGTCTGAGATAAGAGGATTGCGAATGCAAGGCTAGACTGGGCAATAGCCCTTAGGGAGACCTGGTCTCAGAAAACAAAGCAAAAAAAGTAACACAGAAATTGGTAAATTTTCTGGGCCAGGGGAGATGTTAATTTCTTCTTATGCGCTGAACAGGGCTGGGTGCAGATTTGGGAACGGCACTCAACGCCATAATTCAGGAGGCATGGGAGCGGCAATTACTGTCGACTCCCACCTGCCAAAGACATAGAATTTAAAGTTACGGCAACCACCTAGAAGCCTTGCCAGTGGCTGAGTTCCCCTGCTGGGTGCCAGGCATCTGTGAATGGTGTTCTTTTTTTGTTGTTGTTGGTCATGGAGCTTGAACTCTGGGCCTGAGCACTGTCAGCTCAAGGCGAGTGCTCTACTGCTTGAGCCACAGCGCTCTCTGGAAGTGTCCAGTTTTCTGGTGGTTTATTGGAGATAAGAGTTTCAGGGATTTTCCTGTCTGGGCCAGCTTTGAACCGTGATCCTCAGATCTCAGCCTCCTGAGTAGCTAGGATGACAGGCGTGAGCCACCGGTGCCCAGCTTTATGGATGGTGTTTAGAAACAGCACACAGACTCCCATAAAAATCCTCGAGGGACCTGGAGCCAGTTAGGTGCTGAGCCCCTCAGCTGTGCAAGGCCCTGGCACTTAGCTCTCTTTTGGCCTTTACAAGTTCGGAGTACTTGCATGTGCCGTTATCTCAACAGAATAACTAAATCGTCAAATAAGGTCAAAGGTGACCGTAGCAAGTTTGTGCTAGGGTTCTGAGATGATTCTGGAAGGAGAAAACCATGGCTGCCACATAGGTAGACTTTCTTTTGCTTTTCTTTTTTGGGCTGGGGCTGGAAGCCAGGGCTCAGGCAGGCTCACCCCCAGCCTGTAGGCTGAGATTTAAATAATATTTGCCCATACACACTAAGCAATAAGAGATATATTTTATGTACATATTAATGTATACGCTTCCTGGCACACAACAGGAAATATATTTCACACCAAGTATATTCTATGTGTGCAGTATCTTTTGGTACTAGGAATTATATTTCACATGAACGTGTGAAGTGACAATTTTTTTTTTTTTGGTCAGTCATGGGGCTTGAACTCTGGGCCTGAGCACTGTCCCTGAGCTCTTCAGCTCAAGGCGAGTGCTCTACCACTTGAGCCACAGCACCTCTTCTGGTTTTCTGATGGTTTATTGGAGACAAGAACCTCAGGGGCTTTCCTGCCCAGGCTGGCTTTGAACCGCGATCCTCAGATTTCAGTCTTCTGAGTAGCTAGGATGACAGGCGTGAGCCACCAGCACCCAGCAAAGTGACAATTTTTAACAGGCAAGAAATAAATAGCACTAAAAGCAGAGCTGGCATGCTTTCTCAGGATATCTCAATGATAATGACCTGGAAGTCAATGATTTCTTCATAAAGATGAAATAAATTCATTGCAACTTGATTGCATCACCTAAAATATAGCCCTTGGCTTGAAAACGTGCCCTGATGTTTTATGAAGCTTGATATAAAAAGGAAATGGGTGGAATTAAACCAGCAAATTCTTTTGCAATCAATGACTGCAGTTGTACAGTGTGCTACAAAGCAGATGTAGTCAAATGTCGAGAGAAGTTGGACCCAGTCCCCAGCCTGACCAGCAGGCCTGTTGATAGCTCTATTCAGAATACATTCTTGTCCTTAAGGAACTGACCCATATTAACAACTTGAATTCTGTAAACTATTTTTAAAGGGTCACCAATTAGTGATTGATTGCCAAATATCTTGGTGGTTTCCACTATGAAAACCAAGCATCTGTATGGTGGAACAAAAAAATATTTTTTCCAGATACATTAGAGTCAGGAGGGATGAAGTCTGAGTTCTAAGACTATTCTTCTTACCAGATTAATTTGGAGAGAGTAAAGGAGAAGAAAGGAGAAAAAAAACCCAGAATCACAGCTGGGCTGCAATTCTGTTGTACAGCCATATGCTTAGTAGGCTCAAGACCTATGTTTAATATCAAATATGAAAGAAAGAAGGAAGGAGAAGGTAGATAAAGAGAAAGGAAGAAAGAAGGAGGGGGAATTAAATATCCAAGGAAATAAAATTCTGAATTAACTTGGTCACTTGAGCCATAATGATGTTTCAAAGAATTGACTAATCCTTGACAAAAATAATACTATCAAGTTACAGCTGAAATTGGTCTTGGGGGTGAGTCAACCAATCAGAACCAAATGGTAATGAAGAATTAATTCTTTGAGTAAGCGTATCTTCTGTGATTTTCCCGAGTTAGCACTGCATTTTCTGAAAACATGTGTTTTCTCAGGTCTTCCCCATTATTTCTTGGAAATGGATGGGCTTGATTTGTGTGAGTGTGAGTGTGTGTGTGTGTGTGTGAGTGTGAGTGTGTGAGTGTGTGTGTGAGTGTGTGTATGTGTGTGAGTGTGTGTGTGAGTGTGTGAGTGTGTGTGTGTGAATGTGTGTGAGTGTGTGTGTTGGTGGGAGATGGAACCCAAGGCCTACCACAAGCTACCACTGACCCGGCTGCAGTCCTGGAACCTTGAATTTAGATTTAAGTTTGCCTATCACACTGGGATTGCATTGCACGGGTATTTTCTTTCTCCTTTTTCCAGGTGTGTCCATTTTATGCACTCATGGGCAGTGCACATTAGTGTGTGCAAAAGGGCACAAATCGAAGTCCTATATGCCACGTAAAACCCTATTCCCAGAAATAGCCAGAGTTGTCTTAGAAAGTATACACACACACACACACACACACACACACACACACACACACACACACACATTCTCTTTGTAGCTATTAGAGCAACACCAGACACATCGCCATTACCGCTCTACTGGCTTGTGAACACTAGTTCCCCGTGGCTTTCCAGTCTCTTCCCTCAGCATTGCACGTGCCGGACGCACACACCGTACTGAAAGCTTCAGGTCCTTGATCTGAACGAGGCCCGCGTGGGCAGCGTCAGGTTCTGCAGCTGGCATCCCGTGGGGCGGCCGCCCTCTCCCCCCACCGCCCCGTGCGCTGAGCCGCCAGGGCCCGGCGGGCACCTACCGTTGTGTGACATCCCCACGGCAAGGCACTTCTGGAACCGACAGTACTGACATTTATTCCTACTCTTTTTGTGGATCCGACAGTTGAGGTCACACCTGTCGTAAATAAGCTTCAACCGGATAGTCCTTCGGAAGAACCCCTGCAGAGACACACCAAGAAGCAAACTTTATGTCCTCGTGATCCACAGAGGTAGCGCTCACCTACTGCTCCGGCTCCCTGAGCCCTGGCCTGAGGGTCGGGGGAGGGGGCTCCTGCGCCATGTTCTCGGGCGATGACACGTCCCTTGCCTTCTCCAACTCAGGTTTCTTTGCTATAAACCAAAGCCCCAGGGGACCTCGAGGGTCCCTGTCCAGCACTCAAACGCTGACCACGTCCAACTGGTGTCATTTCGTGTACCTTGGCACGCGCTTCGGTTTTCAGCATGCTCTAAGAAGGGCTCTGGATTTAATGAAATGCAAATAAAACACCATGTAATCAGTTCAGTCTCTCCGAGAGTCGTTCCAACTGCATGCCCCGGCCTTTATAATTGTGCTCAGCAGCTTGGCAAAGTTATAATCATTTCATTCTAAAATATGATTGGGGCCAATAAAAATCCACATGTGGATTTTTTTTTAGAAAAATTCTCTCGGTTGCATAATTTCCGGCAGAGTTTGTTTCATTTATTATTAGTATTATTTTTTGTCATTGAAAGAGGGCCTCATCATGGAAGCCTGCAGACAGAAAGAGATAATAGGACATAACGTGAGAAGCCATGCACAAGTCCCCAGAAGTTCTACTCTTGCAAGATGACAAACAAGGCTGTTTGGGGCTGACAAGTCTGTTAAATTTCCTCTGGCTTTTGGATAGAACCGAAGAAGGCTTTTTTTTTTGTCAGTCATGGGGCTTGAACTTAGGGCCTGGGTGCTGTCCCTCAACAATTTCGCTCAAGGCTAGTGCTCTACCACTTTGAGTCAGAGCTCTACTTCTGGTTTTCTGATGGTTAATTGGAGATAGAGTCTCACAGACTTTCCTGCCCAGGCTGGCTTTGAATCTCGATCCTCAGATCTCATCCTCTTGAGTAGCTAGAATTACAGGTGTGAGCCACTGGCACCGAGTCTGAAACAGTTTTTTAAACTAGGAATGTCTTCCTGCTCCATTTTGGGGGGTTTATAGTATTCTTATCCACTTCCATTGTATTCATCTTTGTAAAATTTAGTTTAGTTTTTTTTTTTTTTGGATATGGCCTTGGGGCTTGAACTCAAGGCATTGTCTCTGAGATTTTTGCTCAAGGCTACTACTCTTAACACTTGAGCCACACCTCCACTTTCCAAACTCAGTTCTTCATCTATTCAAACTGCTCTGGTCCTGTCTGGTACACAAAGCAATGGCTTAGTCTTGGTTCTACTATGGGTATGTATTTTGACTTTTTCCAGAATTCATAATCTGTTGTGTTGTAGTTGTTACAAATACCTTCTCTAATGGCCTACTTCCCTTGAAGTGTGTTTTTCATTGTTTTAGAATAACCTGCAAATATGTTCATTTCACCTTTGTGTGGCAGACCAAAGGCACTCTATTTTCTCTCAGTGCTCTGCATTTCATTGCCTTGTGCTTCCATGGTTGCTACTGGGTAACCTGTCCCCTGCTTTGAAGGTGAGCTCTCCGCGGTGCTGGCTCTCCTGCCTCCTTCTCCTGCAGCGTGCCTGGATACGGATTTCTTTTCACTTATTCTCCAGACACTTTTTTTGTTTGTTTGTTTGGTTGTGGGGCTTGAACTCTGGGCCTGGGCACTGTCCCTCAGCTATTCAGCTCAAGGCCAGCGCTCTACCACTTGAGCCACAGCGCCACTTCTGGTTTTCTGGTGGTTCATTGGAGGTAAGAGTCTCACAGACATTCCTGTCCCGGCTGGTTTTGAACCTGTGATCCTCAGATCTCAACCGCCTGAGTAACTAGGATGACAGGCGTGAGCCACCAGCACCTCGCACCAGATATATTTTCTAAATCTTGACTTCACTTTTTTTTTTTTTTAAACTCAGTTCTGGGATTCAAATGAATACTTCCCTTTACTATTCCAGAGCCAATAAAATGAAGTGCATTTTCAACCTGTTTTCCTTTTTTCTTTTTCTCCCAACAGCTTACTCTTCCGGTTACCAGGGAGTCTGAGAGCTGGTGGCATGGGTGTGTATCGTTTGTTCTTAGCTCTTCACGCCTGTGTGACAAGGTGACTTCTGGCTTTGATTGTTTGTGTCTGTTTCACAATGTTTTCCAACTCCTCCTTAATTGCTTTATTTTAAACAAAATTTCACGTGCCAGGAGGTCGCAGATTGGCATTTATCTTATGCTGGGGTTAAAAGCCGCGTGCTGGGCTCACTCCAGCTTCTCCCTGTGTGGTCTCTACGGGCTGAGTCCATAAGCTACGGGACGCAGCCGGGAACACACCAAAGCCCATTCGACTGGGGTAAGGTCCTGCAGACTACGCAGCAGACCACGGTGCCTTTTGTGCGTCCTAAACCGTCTTTCAGCAGAGGTTAACAATGTGATTGCCACGGTTTGATTGTGGCCCCGAAGGGTTCACATGTTAACATTCAGCCCCCCTGGTGGGGGATAAGAAGATGGAATTTAATCTGACTGTGGGCGGTTAAAGGTGAGACCTCCGGAGATGATTGGGATTAGCTAAGGCCTTTTAGGATGCAGCCACCATGATTGAATCCTGATGACTCTGAGACCAGGGTGAGAGGGGACACACACACACACACGCACACACACACACACTCACACACACACATACGCTCACTCACACACACACAGACTCACACAGACTCACACACACACACTCACACACACACACTCACACACACACGCTCACTCACACACACAGACTCACACAGACTCACACACATATACTCACACACACATACTCTCACACACTCACACACACAGACTCACACTCACACACACTCACACACACATGCTCACACACACAGACTCACAAACACACATGCTCTCACACACACTCACACACACGCTCACATACACACTCACAGACTCACACACTCACACACGCTCACACACACTCACACACACTCACACAGACATGCTCACATACACGCTCACACACACACACTCACACACACACACTCCCTTCCTTTCATGTGAAGAAGCCCCACACTTTTTGGCAATGCTGTATCAAGAAAGCCATCAACCAGGCCGGCACCAGCAGCTCACTCCTGCAGTGCTGGCTACTAAATGTTGGTGAGACTCCCTCCCTCCCGCACCACAACCAACACCTGGGTGCAGTGTCTGCCGTTCCCGTTGGCTGAGGCAGAGGCCAGAAGGGTTATAGCTTCAGGCAGCCCAGCCAAAAAGTCTACACGTCTCCGTCTCAACAGAAGAAGCTGGGCCTGGGCTTACCTGCGTTTGGCAGGTTTTACGGAGTGTTTAGTCGCTATCTCTGCATTCTAGCCTGTTTTTCTGTTTGTGCATTTTGTTTGGCAGTGCTCGGGATCAAACCTGGGCCTTGCACGTGCCAGGTGAGTGCTCTACTATTAACAGAGCTGCACCCCAGTCCTTAACTCACAGTTCCTACATCCATAACAGGGTCGTAAGGGTGAAGCGAAACCCGGGAACCAGCATCCGGGCCTCACGCATCCCTGACAGTCTTGCAATGATTCCTGGCACAAATCATTCAACCCCCCCCCCCAAACCTGCAGGACACCAGGGCTGGGCGCGCACAGCTCAAAGGACCAGCATGGGGACAGGAGCAGGGGCGGAGCAGTGCTGCTTGCACCCGTGTTTCTTGGGTTTTCACACATGGCACCACCAGAAGGAGTTTAACCGGAAGGAAAAAGAATGCGACCATCTGATCTGGGCTCCCTGGACTGAGCGTGAGCCAGGCCCGCGCTGGGGCGAATGCTGGGGTGAGCTCTTTTTTACCTTGCACCCCTCACACGCGTGGACTCCGTAGTGGAAGCCGGAAGCTTTATCTCCACACACGCGGCACTCGATGGCCATGAGGGAGCTGGAAGGTTCCTCGTGGGGCCGGTTGTAGAGCTGCGTCTTCTCAGAGTAGTAAGGCGGGGAGGCCGGCTCCACTTTGATGGCACCTGTGCCCGGGGAAAACGTCAGATGATTACCGGGGACAGGAACAGTGAAGAACCGAGCGTAGCATCCGCAAGCCTCAGATGCTTCACTAGACAGCACCAGGGTCTGGAGCAACGAAGAAGCCGTTTGGCTGGGAGATGGGCTGCACTGAGCCTGGCATTGCAGCATCAATTACATATTTCATCCAAACACTGCATTTTTTAAAGAAGCATTTTGCAGTCACTCTTGCAAGAGAAACACAGAAGGGCCTGGCTGTGGAAGGTCACGGGGAGCCTAGCTCGAAGGTGCCCAAACAGCAGGACTCCAGGCTGAGTGGAAAGAGGTGGTGTGTAAAAAACCATCTCTGATAAGGAGCAGGAGAAACCTACAGAAAGCTGGTACTACATTTACTGGTTAGGTTCAGGTTGATTACATTTCCGTATTAGGCTCCAACTGAAAACCACACAGATAAATATGACCGCATACACTATGTATCTAAGAAAAAGAAAAGAAAGAACTAGAAATACAGAAAGTTCATGCTTATGATCAGGCGATGAGTGGTTGACAATGAGAGACTGGTGGCTTTGGAAAACCACCCACAGCCAGATACGAATCAAGGAAGCGGCGCTACAGAAGTTGTCCTTTATCATGAAAAGTGCAGCCTGAGCTTTTCTTGAGTCTGATGTGTTGATGTTGGTTAGTGGCATGAAGATTTATCAAGAATGCAATGTAAATTTGTGCCAGGAAAGTAGGTTTCAGCATAAATGCCACAAACTACAGATTAGAAGAAAAAAAAAAAAAGAAAACCCTTACAGTAATAGTCATTTAGCGGTGATAAGTTATGTAAGGTAGAAGTGGCACTGTGGCTCAAGTGGTAGAGCGCTCGCCTTGAGCTGAAGAGCTGAGGGACAGCGCCCAGGCCCAGAGTTCAAGCCCCACGACTGACCAAAAAAAAAAAAAAAAGCTACGTAAGGTAGCTTACAATGATTACTTGTTAAATTATAAGGGGTCAAAAGAATTCAAAGTTTGGATGATGGACTCTTAAACTCTTAAGGAGGCAGCAAGCAGGGGGCTGGAGGCGTGGCTCAGTTGGTGGAGCACTGGCCACTGCGAAAGCAGATGTAGGTACCAAGTTCAAGTCCCGGTCCCAGACCTAGGGGAAAAAAAAGCAAGCAAGCAAGGAAGAGAAAGGGAAAGGAAGACAGGAACAGGCCATCTTCCCATTTGGACTGTGACTGATAATCAAGGTCTGTGAAGGGCATGCGTGGATCTCTGGGGCTCTCATTCCAGGAGCCTGGAATGGGGTCACCCCCAGCCCGAGTGGCCTCAAAGGTGGACATCAACCTCATACTTTGGTATTCCTGCAGCTTCAGGTCGTATTTATAATCCGCCACCATGGGGTCGGCTCTGGCGAATGGGGTGTCCTCGTAGTGTGGATTGGAGATGCTGGAGAAGTCCACGGTGGTGAAGGGTTTGATGTCAAAGGCGTGGGGGTGCTCGTCCATCCCAGAGAGGTCCACCGAGCCGATCCCGAAGCTGGTGGGCCAGAAAGGCATCTCGGTGTCAACCATGGCGATTTCTGAAATGGAAGCAAAGAAATGGAGCCTGAAGTCAGGTGCCGAGGGACAGGGCACTCGCTCACGACTGCACGCACAGGAAGCCATGTCTTTGATAAGGCAGCCACCCTGCCACCCTTCTGAGCACCACCCCGGCTGGGTGAAAAGCCAACCCCTACCCTGGCTAACCCGGGAGAGATCCTGTTGTGTGCATGTGTGTGTGTGTGTGTGTGTGTGTGTGTGTATACGTGCATGCGTGTGTTTGTGTGTGTGTGATGTTCTTCTATCTGTCCTGCCTACATCTCTACCCCTCACACTCTCTAAAGATAGGCCAAGTTAGTTACTTTTATTTACTTGAAATTTCTTTCCACCAAGCCCTGAGTTCAACCCTAGCACTGCCAAACAAAACAAGACAGATTTTACTCAGTACTAATTTCCACCCATTTCCACCGCCCCCCCCCCGCCAACACAACAAAACAAAGTGAGATGGAAACAAGAAACAATACAGAAGACAAAGCAGAGAACACATGGTTTCTAAAGTGCAGAATAACCACTGCGGCCAGCGGCGGCTCCGGCACCTCAAGCCGCGTACGTTATTTTACGTTGACTTTTGTCATCACAGTACACGAAATAAAACCTCGCCAGTTTGGGTGGCAAGCATCTACTGAGAGCTTGTGAGCCACAGGGGAGCGGACGGTTGAAGCTCCCACGCTCTGTTACCTGCCTGGCTTGGATTCTCTGAGCCCAGTTCCCTCGTATCCACATGCGCCAACAGCGCAGCCAGAAAGTGTGATAAATGTGGATTCTCTGCTCAGAAACCTGAGTGCAGAGCTATGCCGAATCCAGGACTGCTACCTCAGGAGAGAAAGAAATGAGCTGCCCATCCAAGTTCCAGAGGTCTGGAGTTCCCAAGGTTCCCAAGCCCGGGGCAGGAGGTTCAAGTTCTAGACCAGGGCAGAAAGCCTGCTGTCAGCCATCCTCTGGCGGATGGAGGCCGGGGAGGAAGGGCGGGCGGCTCTTCCAGGCCTACCTGGGAATCGGCCTCCTGCCTTTTCCCAGAGAGCCCAGCTCCCAGGAATTTGCTCTCCCCGGCTAGCGCCTGCACGAGGCTGGAGACTTCAGTTGTGGTCTTCACAAGAAAAACAAAGTGCTTCTCCAAGGAAGGAGCGGAGTTCTGTGAATGCGCTCCGTGACTCCGAGAGGCTCCTGGGACACTGCCCGTGTTCCCACGCGGGAATGTCCGCGCTGTAAGCTCCCAAACAAACTCATGTTATCTGCAGGCACTGCAAAACCTGCCCACGGTGGCCAGGAATGTGGGCGGTGAGAGCTGAGGGACCCCTGCCCCCCGGGGGTCAGTGACACCCAGGAAATGTCTGTGTCCCGGGGGGGAGAGGGGGAAAGGGGGCAGCCATCAGGCTCTGTCCTCTGTCTCAAAATTCATCTACCCCCCCCCTCAACCCACGCCGCACATCCACGCTGTGGTCTCAGCCTGGCGGGCTTCGCCTGGGCATCACTAGTGACTGCACGCGGCCCGCACCATCCTCATGCTGCCACGTGTCTGGACGATGGGCCTGGCTGCCAGGCGCTGTCCAGCCATCTCTCCCGACAACCGACTGCAAAGCCTCACTAAGTGACTTCTGGCTAGTGACTAGGATCTGTAGAAATACAGATTCATGCAGGTATTTTGTTGTTGTTGTTGTGGGTCGTGGGGCCTGTCCCTCAGCTCTTCAGCTCAAGGCTAGCACTCTACCACTTGAGCCACAGCACCACTTCTGGTTTTCTGGTGGTTTATTGGAGATAAGAGTCTCATAGACTTCCCTGCCTGGGTTGGCTTGAACTGGGATCCTCAGATCTCAGCCTCCTGAGTAGCTAGGATGACAGGCATCACATTACAATCTGTAGTTGCTTGCCTTGCAGATGTGGATGGGCATGGATGGCGTCCCTTGTCCACCATGGAACACAGAGCCGTTCACCCCCCCCCATGTATCCCAAGTGCCCCGTCCACCCCTCGCTCCCCAGGGAGGGCTGTGGTTTTATGATCCTCTATTTCAGAACAGACCTCTTTAATAAATGACCGTGTCAGGGCCCGGGCCTTGGCTTAGTGGTAGGTGCCTGCCTGGCAGGTGCAAGGCCCTGAGTTCAAGCCCTGGGACCGGCAAGAACAAAAGCACAAAAAACCCTCAACCCACACTTGAGAATAAATGACCATGCCTTCATTGGCACCCCAGGCCCTGGAGGGCGGCCCGGCTTCACCCTGTCTGCTGATTTTCCCCTGGTGACCCCAGGCCTCGTCCCAGTGATCGGCACAGACAGCTGTCAACCCGCCGTGCAGTGTGCCCAGGATACCGGCCCCTGTCTGTGTCCTCGGTCCACTCCTTGGGTCCATGCGTGTTCCTCCGCCTAGCACTTGCTCTAGGCACCCCGCTCCCTATGTGTCAAAGCCCAGCCCGTGCTCTGGTCTCCACGAAGCTCCGGGTCTCCAGGCTCTCCTGGTGGCTCTCCTCCACCTCCCGCCATGTGCTGACTTGGACGAAGGCTCCGCCATTCGAGTTCCAGCCTGGGAGAAGAAGACGGCAGCTTCTTCTCCCTCTCCCCGGCCCTGCACAGCGGTGCTTTCCTGGGCGCTGGCTAGCCCAGTGATGGTATTTTATAGACATGTGTAGACTAACTGCTCATTTTTTTTCCCGATGAAAAATGAAGATACTTTCTCCACGGTTCAGTGTTGCAAAGACTTATGCTCCTCAAAGGATAATAATCTCCAGAATTATAAATCTAATACGGTATGATCGGTAACCCTTTCCTCTCAACAACGAATATTCATTTTTCCTTTCTTTTTAGTTGATTACAAGAGGATGATTAGGGGCCTGTACATTTCCCCCTGCTTTATCTTTTTGTGTGTGATGCTAGAGATTGCACCCAGAGCTTCATACATGCCGGGCACTGAGCTAACACCCCCGGCCCATGTTTTCTTCTTCTTCTTCTTTTTGTTTTTCTAAATGGCAAGGTCAGAATAAGAAAGAAAAGCAGCTGGCTTTTCATTTTCGAGAAAACATGGCGCTCCAATCCCACAGGGCTTCTCCCTGTCCTCCACCCTGAGCCGCTCCGGGCCCAGCGAGATGACGCACCGCGTTACAGGGAGGCTGCGGCTCCCTGGACGCTGTACTTTATTTTGACTTAGAGATGGGTCCAGGAAACCTGCTTCTCATTCTGTCTTGAGAAAACACAAGCTTCTGTGGCTGCCAAGCCGCCAGTGGAAGAGGTGTTTTCTGTTACTCCGTGCAATTACCCATGAAAGAACAAATGAACAAAATATTTGCATGAACAACAGCCCCTTCTTGGGAATAAGCGAGCGGCTTCACTTCCAGCCGGCTGAGAGCAAGTTGTGTTGCCTCAGGGCAGATCCAGCCATTTCCCAACCCTCAGTGTGGTTCCTTGGGGTGGGGGGGAGGCGGGGGGGGCGGGAGGAAGAGGGGGTCTCAGCCCATCTTGTGAGCAAGGACAGGAATGTGAGCTTCAAACTTGGCTTTCAACGCCATTAGAATGAAGCCAGCCCACTTTTCACAAAACTCCGAAGTATAATGCCTTTCACAGAAAATGTGATCGATTTCATGCAAGAGTAAAGTAACTTCTCTAACCTGATAGGCATTATTACTTGGGGTATGGACATGGGTCAATAGAGACACTGAATTGTAAATACCAGCCTCAGAAACAGAGGGTCTACCTTCGGGGTTTTCTGTTGTCCCTTCAGAAAAGAAAAACCTCCAGTAGAATAGCTGGGAGTGTGACTTCATCCTTGATATAAACCCTAACAGAGAGAGAGAGAGACAGAGAGAGAGAGAGAGAGAGACAGACAGACAGAGTCAGCGAGAGGCACAGAGAGAAAGAGCACAAGATTAAGCAGTCATGATTAAAGCATGCTTTTGGGGGTGGGAGAGCAGTTCTAGGGTTGGAGCTCAGGCCTCACCTGAGCCAGGCTCCCAGTCCTATGTCATGATGTTAGCAAGCGGAGGTGCCAGGAAACGACTTACCAGACGGAAAAACAGAACAGAATTTAATGCAGAGGAAAGAGATCTGCAGCAGAATTTGTGTTTGGCCCCCTGCAAATCAACTCTGGATGAACTGAAACATTTACGAAACCCCAAAATAATAGGCTCTGAATTTAAGAAACATTTTTTTCCTTTTCTTTCATTCTTTTCTCTTTCTTTCTCTCTCTTGTTCTCCTTCCCTCCTTCCCCTCCCTCCGTCCCTCCTTCCCTCCCTCCCTTCTTCCTTCCTCCCTTCCTCCCTTCTTCCCTTCCTCCCTTCCTCCCTCCCTCCCCCTTCCTTCCTTCCTTCCTTTCTTCCTTCCTCCCTCCCTCCCTCCCTTCCTCCCTCCCTTCCTTTCGCAGTGCTGAGGATGAAAGCCCTTGGACTCCCAGTAACCCGTGAGCCACATACACCTTGATGCTAGGAATAGTCTTGAAGAGGCTAAGGCAGCCAGCACTGTGCAGGTCTATGTTTTTACATAATAGATACATCTATAGCTATCCTATTGCAGGTTGCCATCAGGAATATTAATGGTCAAGAAGGAAGGAGCAAGTGTCATGTCAGATGTCCTGGGTTCAATCTACTGGTCGCTATTCTGTCATCTCTCTACACCTAACTCCCCAATGGTGAAGCAATCACGTTGCCTACGTCATCCAGCTCTTACCAAGACTGCCTGAGACGGCAGAGAGCTGGCACAGGTCCAGACACTCAGTACATTCGCAATAAACGCTAGGAGCAATTTTTGCACGTTTCAGTTCAAAGTCAGCACACTGGACCCCTACAAAGGTGCCCCGGATCCTCCCACACCACCACAGGGGACAGGAAGAGGAAGAGGCCAGCGAAGCCCATTGTTCCAGCAGGACCACGCCTAAAACACATGTCCTGTTTTAAAGACCCCTGGAGGAGGAGAGAACAAGGCTTCTCTCCTCCAGTTCAGGGGCCTCGCTGCTCTTTCATACCAGGAAAGTCTGCATGTTACCTGCCATGGCCTGTATGG